TCTGGAGGTCTTCCACTCGTCATTTGAAAAGACTGTCCGGGAAAGGCATTGTTTAAGGGGTAGCTCTCTAAAGCCACCTGAGCTTTTGTGTTTGGATTCCTTTTTGTCTGGAGAAGAACATCAGTGAAGAAAGGTTTTACACCTGTTATGGCATTGATTTCATATGCATTGTGCCTGTCAGTCAGTGCTCTCCCTGTTAAAATGGGCTGAAAAACATGTGATCCTGAGACACCACTAACAAAGCTGTGGAGGACAGAATGCCAAATCCCGCCGCTTATTGGACTCAAAACAACCCGCGGCCATAAGCTGGCCAGGCTCCGGAGAGCTTCGCGGTTCCATGCGGAGGCAGGAAAGTCCGTCTCGGTGTGATAGAGCTGAGAAAAATAAATACTAAGAGTGATGCCTGGATATGTAATCAGGAAATTGTACACTTTGCTGATGCAGCAGTGGTTAGCTTCATTACAAGGGGAGTTGTTGCAATACAGAATGATATGCCTGATGCTGTCATTATTGTATATGGCTGAGTCAAGGTAACCATTCATTTCAAAGAGCATTGATTCTGGATGGATATGATTCCCAGTGCAACTGCTAGCATGGCCCTTTTGCACCAGGCTACCAGAAGAAGTTTTTAATTCATAAAATGTGAGGTGTTTTGTTTGAGGATATGTTGTCCCATAAGGGAATCCAAAAATCTGACAAAATTCTGTGAGGGAAACTCTTGCTTCTTCACCCGTTCGAATATGGTAAGGACAATTAGAGCAATCTAGAGAGAAGCTTAGCCAGTAATAAGGCTTTACTATTGTTCCATGATTTGCTAGGTATTCCTCATATGTGGGCTCCATTGCTAGTTTTACTGTCTTCTAGCCGCAAACCTAAACAAGGAAGAGGAATTACATATGAAACCAGTGCAGGAAAAACTGAAGACAGTGCATTAAGTTATTAAACCATACTTTCTTTAAAGGAAGTAGCATAATAAAGATAGTGATATATGCATAGATTTAAAAGCTCAGGATTCATTATTTTTTGAGACTCCTAGAGCATGGAGAAGAAACAGAAGAGAAAGGCATTCTTCAACTTTACCTGTTTCATAGATTCCAAGTCAGTAAAGCAAATGAGTTAACAATGCAAGTTCTAGAAACAGACTGTCTGGTTTTAAATTTGGGCTTGGCCAATTATCAGCTTAGTGGTCTTTGGCAAGTTATTTAACATTTGGGAGCCACAGATTACTTGTCTGTAAAATGAAGATATTAATAGTATTTACCTCATAAGATGGTCTTGGGCAAAAATGCTTCACTATGTGCTTGTCACATAGTAAGGACTCAGTAAATATTAGCTCTTAGTAGTAAAAGTACAAATCCTAGGGTTATCTAGATTGTTCCTAATTATAAAAGTACAAAAAAGGGTTTTGCATTTTATTCATGATCTTCTCAGAATATGTTAAGTATTGTGCAGAACTCATGTATTGTGCAGAACTATTGAGTGTGCTAGCATTTAACATCATCTTTCTTAAAATCACTGGCAATAATTTGGAGGGTTCCCCCCCGCCCCCGAGACTAGGATCATGGGATCTCTTTTGCTTAATGGTAGAGACTTCCTGGAAGTGCCACGTGAGTATTCTTTGGGTTGTGGACACTCATTCATTGACATGTAGAGTTTTCTTTCCAGTGAGTTGGTCTTGTTAGAAGATTTTTGAAAAATTACTGTTACAGAGAGCAAATATAGTTCTTTGGAATATTTCAAATCAGTAGTTTCTGTGATGTTAAACTAAAAAAGCTGAGATCATTAAGTAATGATTTTTTTCCTTTAAAAAATATTCATTCAGTTATCATTGTTCCTATAATGCCCTAGGAGCTACCTATTTTGTTTGTTTTTGAGACAGTCTTGCTCTCTTGCTCAGATTGCAGTGCAGTGGGATGATCATGGCTCACTGCAGCCCCAACCTTCTGGGCCCAAGTGATCCTCCTGTCTCAGTCTCCCGAGTAGCTGAGACCACAGGTATGCACCACCATGCCCAGGTAATTTTTTTAGTTTTTAGGAGGGATGTGATCTCGCTATGTTGCCCACACTGGTCTCAAACTCCTGGGCTCAAGTGATCCTCCTACTTTGGCCTCCCAAAGTGCTGGGATTACAGGTATGAGCCACCATGCCCAGCCTTCCATCACTTTTTTGACATGCTTATTCACAGGTCTGTTCCTTCCAGTCTTTTTGCTATATGTGTAAGTTGTGTATAATATAAATAAAGTCATGTTTTATACCCTGCTTTTTCACTTAATATTGTGCCATAAGCATTTTCCCATGTTATTAAAAATTCTTTAAAAAACACAATATTCAGCTGGGCATGGTGGCTCATGCCTGTAATCCCAGCACTTTGGGAGTCTGAGGTGGGCAGATCACAAGGTCAGGAGATTGAGACCATCCTGGCTAACAAGGTGAAACCGCGTCTCTACTAAAAATACAAAAAATTAGCCGGGCATGGTGGTGGGCACCTATCGTCCCAGCTACTTGGGAGGCTGAGGAAGGAGAATGGCCTGAACCTGGGAGGCAGAGCTTGCAGTGAGCCAAGATTGTGCCACTGCACTCCAGCCTCAGCGACAGAGTGAGACTCTGTCTCAAAACAAAAAACAAAAAACACAATATTCATGGCTAATGAGTTTTTTATTATGTAACTGTAACATTCAGTTTCTTGCCTCTTTTAATTATTATAACACTGATGAATATTTCTGTAAATAAATTATTACATATGTGATATTTATTATAAAGAATCAGATTTTTTTTTTTTAGTATAGATTACTAGAAATCATAGTATTAGGTCAAACATTGTCAAATCACTGCCTAGGAAGGTGTACCAATCTTATCACATTAATTTGAGAAGTGAGCATTGGTATTTTTTGTTGCTATAATGTGTGCCCTTACTATTTCTAGTGAAGTTGAACACTTTTTGACATGCTTATTGGTCTGTGGTATTTTATTCTTCTGTGAAATATATTTGATTTTTTACCTGTCTTTTGGGTGAGGTTTTCCTTATTGGTTTGCAAGACATCTTTATGCATCAAGAATATTAAATCTGCCACATTTGTTGCAAATATTTTACCTGGTTTATACAGCCTTTTAATTATGCCAATGTTATTTTAATTGCACCAAAATTTACATTTTTATGTGATCCAGTCTCTACTCCTATGGTTTTTTCTTAATGTATTAAGAAATGCCTTCCTCATCAAAGCATAATTAAGTATTCCCCATATTTTCTTCTAGTATTTATGGTTTCATGTTTTACATTTAACTTTGTCGGATAACAAAACTGATAAGGCAGAAAATTTAAATGAGGTAAACTGACCATTGCAACAGAATATATTTTTCACTTTTCAAAATCTCACTTATCATCATAAATCCTTGTGCTAATAAATAAATTATGGCCCTCATATGGAAGTGCTCTGTTCACGTTCTGTCTTCCTCAGCCCAGATCGGCTCAGTCATTGCTGTATTTGATACAGCTTGATCTCTAGCCTGACACCTGCAGAGTTCCTATGCTAACCCTGTCCTGGGCAGAAAATATGTTAAAAGCCTCAATCCAGCTATAGGTGGAGTGTGGCTTTACTCATGTCACCATTATCTTAGTGGCTAATATCCTGCAGTAACTCTGGCACCACATGCCCACCAGATTCTAGATTTCTCCTAGCCTCTGCTGTGTCATCTTAATCCATAGGATTGGACATGAGCTTTGTTTTTTCCTTAGTACTATGCTTTCTTGATGTAACTGAATTCCTGCCCTGAGGCTTCTTAGACCTTGTCATAGCTTTCCTTCCAGAGAGCTGGATTTAACCCTTGGCAGTGGACCATCTCTTGGAACCTGATGCCATTTCTTGCTTGCTCCCGAGCATTGTTTCCTCCCTTGACCTCCTCCTCGCTTAGCCTTCATCAGGCTGGATGGATCTCTCCATCAGAACTTGCCACAACCAAGCCCAAATTCTCATGCTTTTTAATATTGTGCCCTTGATGTGGTCGACCCCTGGGTGGTATGTCGGACATCCAGGTTACTGCTCAAATTACAATTTCAACTCACCCACAGACAATTTACAAATTGATTTGGCTAAATGTTATGGAAACAGAACCAAGAGGCACTTTTCTGTCTTTATTACTGTTTCTTAAGGTGATGCGTATGTGGAGTTAACTATATATAATGGTCCCATAATTACCCTTTTGGGAAACAAAATTACCCTTTGTGTGTTTTTAAATAAAGGTAGCAAAATGGAAACTCCCTATTGCTTTTCTAAGCGCTCCTTCCTTTGCACCCCTGTCTTCTGTGACTGTTTCAGCCAGAAATGATACATCATTACTGTCTTTAAGGACATGGAGAGAACTGTGGCTTTGACACATAGTGGAGGGAGCTCTGTAGTCTCATTCTTGCTGATGGCTTTTCAGTGTCAACAAACTCTAGTTCCCTATTGGTGAAGTTTCCACTTTTTCATCGTCTTTCTGGGCTTCTTCTTTGATCACCCTCATTTGAAGAGGAAGCAGGAAAGAACTGTTGCCCTCTTTGAACTCTCATAGAATTCATGGTTTATTGTATCAATTTGTTACCGATCACAGATTATCTTGTTAACTTTCCGTATCGGTTATTTTATTCTCCCCTAACCAGGTGGAAATGTACCCTGTTTTGGCTTAGGACCTACCTCAGCAACCTTGATTGGCTCACAAGCCAGGTTGCTTAAGACTTGTTTCCCCAGCAGCTGATGTCTAGCCCTTTTCCTTTTGCTTTGTCTGTGCTTGGGAAATACATGTTATACCCTGTAGAGCAGGTTTGCTGGCAGTAAGAACAGAGATGTGTAGAGCCCAGTGTGCTGTAGGGCTCTCTGCATCTGGCTGTGAGTGACCCCTGGACTGGGACTGTAGGGGGACAGTCCCAGTTTTCCATAGTTTAACATAAATGAACCACACCACAAGGACAAGCTGCTCTCATTTCACTCAACTAGGATTTAGTGAGTACTGTTAAAGCACAGTTTGCACTGGAGTAATTGGAGAATGGAGTTTGCCCTTCACAATCTGTGCACAATCTGTTAGCAGCTAAAAACAAATGTTAGCAGTTATAATTACCCTCAATTTGTCTCCAGGCTTGGATCACATTCCAGGTGTTAGAAGAGATGGTCCATTTCCTTCTTTTTCTCCTTTAAGTCCCATGCCCTGTTTCAAGTAGCTTCAGAGGGCAATTGTGCTGTAAAGAATCACCTTGTAATGGGTTCAGGACTCTTTCACAGTTTGTGTCTATTCGTTCATTTGAACTTTGCTGTTCCAAGTTAGAAAGACCTTGCTGAGGTGTGGCTACCTCTAAGAACACTGTTGAATGGGTGCCATGGTAACATTTGCAAAGTAGCTACTGCTAGGATACAGCTCTGACACTTATTACTTTATTTGCATATCAAGCCACCTGTTCCAAAGATGAAAATATACAGGACTGCATATTCCAGTCTGGGTAAAAGGATAATAGCTGACTGTTGAAGAGAATGTGTTGGGGTTTTTCTCCTGCTGGCTGGAAAATCAAGTTCTGAGGGCCTGCTCCTCAGCACCTTTCTCCTGGTCTAGAGGGGGTGCCAGGCCTGGCGGTTCTGTTGCCTGCGCAGGTGCCAGGGCTTCTCCTTGGG